ACATTGGTTCTTGAGGATATCGAAATACTTTTTACTAATAATTCGATAAGAGAATTTTGATGCTGCAATAAGGTTTTCAGACCATCCATTCTGTTGTTACAAAATTCACTTTGACTAAATATGTAAGCGTAGATCCATTTTAATCACCGTCACCAGTTGTTATAAACTGCAGGATACTGAATATAACTTTAGAGGTTTCTGGTTATAACAGTCCTTTCACTTTTTACACGTATGTGGAACGTTAATTTACCTTAGACGAATATCTACACTAGATTCCCACCCAGTGTCTATTCTACAGGACTTCAACACAACTCAGATCAAGAACACAATATTAGCCTGACTATAACGTCAATATATTTCCACACCAAAATCCGACACGAGAAACAGTCAATCAATAATAGTCCATCAATAAGTGTCAATACATAATAAGGATAGAGGAATATTTACAACACATGACACCTGTCATCTATCTAATGTCTGACTCATCAAAACAATCAATCATTGTCATTCTCTCCCACACATCAGTTCTTGAATAGAATTGGTCATTTCTCTTTTATAATGCTCATTGATAAACCTCATGCACTCGAACATTTTTAATGGAGTTGAAAAATTAAGTTTCACTTGGATTATCATCGTTATTTATAAATATTCGGGTTCTTAAGCTGTTTGTGGGTAATAAGTCAACCCACGTTAAAGTCCGTATTATAATCAGAAGTATTGGAATTGTAGTATAAACTAGTAATCCCAGGAATAACGAAATTTAATCTAGGAGTATTAAATGAGCACAAACGAATGTGTTGTATTTGGAATTCAAAATCACAACAGTCATCATTACAAAGAAGTCATTGGTTCATTCAAACATCACAGTCCGGTTCATAAATTTACTGAAAACTTACATTAACTGACACGCATTCAAAGAAAAAAAATGAAAAGACAGAAATAATTAATTCAAATACATTGAAACCAAAAAGACATTGATCACTGTTTTCGTGAACACGCACATTGTAAAAGCGACTATGCTGTTGTCAACTTAAAGTCTACTAATTTTAAGTGTTTGGCATTAAATAACTCAAGAAAAATATCTCGATCTCTCTTTCGCCAACTGATATCGCTGGGATGGTACGACACCAAGGAACAAGTGTTCCAGACAATGTAGCTCAACTGTCATCAAGGTGAGCAAGTCCATCCACAACTGCAAGGTATTGCCAGTGGTAGAGAGAACGATTGAACAACAAGAGACACTTCATTACTAAAGGGCTATTTCCTTCAGTTATAGAGTCATCTAAAAAACACTAAACCTCAAGACTCATTAATTTCTAGTAACTGAAATCTATTACGACCAATGTTACGTATTTATACTTCGATAAAACAAAACCCAAAATATAAATATTTTTACCTTAGCTGACCAAGAGTATTTTCTGCTTTTCGAATAGTCCATGAAATATCACTAAATCAAACCAGATCTGTTCAGAAGAATTACAATTTGCGCTATTGGAATATAACCATTAATAAAAATTATGACTCCCTGACATTATTACGTTTCATCAACAAATTAATTGTCCATTGGACTAACGCAGTAACGAGAATAACAAAAACTGGAGCTAAGGATCCACCGAACAATAATAAAATTTGTTAATTTACAATTATCAGCATGGGGTTGTGAAGATTGAGCTTTAGTTGAGATCATGAACTGATTAGAGTCAGATCACCATTGAAAACCTCAAAGCGCTGGGCGACCTTTTCTTTCTAGTGTGGTAAACTTCAACAGTGCACATCCATGAGCTGGAACGCGGAATTTGAGCCCAGGACATTCAGACTCGCGAGGTATAGCTTAGTTTCTAAATCACTGAGATGACATCCCATGGTGTTAATGTCGGACTTCAAACAATCCACTATATTACGGGACTATCTTCCATTTTCTTCGGTGGGTAACTGCCTCATACCCGGCACAACTGAACTCTACCGACCACGAATTCTCACTGGAACACGCGCAGGGTCGTGAATGCGTATTGCCGAGGACCAGCCATGACTAACGTAAATTTATTTTGAATTCGTAAAGTTTTTTTATGTTGCACTAGAGCGATATGTTAAAATGACTCCAAATAAAAACGTATGACAAGGAGAATAAGAAATACAGGACAACCACATGATTGACATATAATGCAATAAAAGGAAGTCTAGCCTCATTTTTCTGAGTAATTCTCATTCATGGCCAATCATTATCATAAGTCTGATAACTAGTTATTAACCTGCTCTACATAAATCTCGTATTGTTTCATTATCATATTTTGGATAGACACTGTAATGACCGAACACAACTAGAAATCTGTAGAAATTCGAAATCAGAAAATTTTACCTATAAAGTCACAAATTTACTTTTTGCTCAAGTCGGTCAACAGTCAAACTGACTTAAAAAAATTGGAAATTGTGTTGATAATCACTAACCAATACAGACAGAACGAAAGTTTCAGTCAATAAAAAGCAATACTTTAATAAGTTGGTGATACTTATTTTCTACAATCGGTAGCGCATCAAAAACAAACTGAACGAAATTAAGTGTTAGCCCATAAACTGTGTTACTACTTCAAGCCCATTAATGATGATCTAAATGCATACTACACTAGTAGTGAACGAGAACACTAGTGGTAACAATCAAATATATTTTAATACGATATTACAGAATTTATTGGTAAAATACTTCATTTGCAAAACGTTAATCAGTCGTTTCAGACTTGATTGCTTCTTCCTTTACACGCCAATCACTATCCGTTCTTGTTCTCTTAGATCTTCTTAACCTTCTGTCGCCGGGCATTTCACTTCCGATTAGTGATACATACAACTTATATCTGTCGACATCAGTACAACATACTACGTAGTCATTTTGCATCAGGTGAATACAAGCTTCAGTTTTTGAATTAGGCAAAATACAGATTTTACATTTTTGACCAAATTCTAACAAAATGGAGTAATGAAATCACTATTTAACACCTAATAATCTTAAAGTTCATGATATGTTTTATTAAGTGCTCTTATTAATTGTCAAAAAACTCCTTTTATTTATTTATTTGAACACATAAATATTGGTACAAAAGGGCACCAGATATATATACGCCACACAAATCTCATTTGATTTGTGTGAGGGCTGTGACACTGCCCAGGTGCCCGAACTGAAGCAGGTGGTTTTCTTATGGAACCACACCCGGAGGCTTTGACTTAAAGGTCTCACTCATAAGGCGGTGAAGCATCGTGAGGAGATGCAGTCCCATGGTAGCCGGTGACCAACGATTGATTCATACGCCATTTGTTTCCTCAGGATACTGGAGCCCATGTGCACCATTGGTACAAAATCAGGATTTTCCAACTCCCCTAGATGGACTTTCCGTGTCCACCAACCGGGTTAAAGCGCCGGACATTCGCTTTTCGTATTCTCGATTTCGTAAACAATAGTAATGACACGAGAAGGCAGTGAGTAGGACTCCCTGGCAGAGGCTATATACGCGTGGCCATGTGAGAGCATTTAGAGAAGAAGAGCGGACTCTCCTCACTCTCGGCCGTACCAGGGCATTTGGATTCTACGTTTTGTCCCGTACTAATCGACTACCGAAACTGACGTAAACAGTACTGGATTTGAACCCATAACTCAGTGGTTGAAAACAAAATAACTAATATACCAATAGTAAGGTGTGGTTGGCCAATGAGCGAAGACAGACATCCAGTCATGAGAATATAGGTGAGCATTTTGTATCTGGCTCTGATACCTACCCCGGATTTCACTGTTTTGCCGCTTGTACTTATGTCAATAAACTAGTGTCTGAGCCATTTTCGTTTCCCAGTCCTTGGTGGGACATTGTGTCTGTGCCTACCACGTGGTCTATTATTGTAATCTATCTAGTGATCCTAATGTCTAGTATTATCAGTTAAAAAGTGAGTGAGTGCAAAAAGTAGTTTTTCAACATTATAATAGTATATTGAAGCGAAGGTCCCTTCAACTCCGAAAAGAGTTTGGTTGGCTTCTCCGGTTGCCTACTTTGTAGTGCGATTCTTTTTTACGAGATGGGATTGCAAACCCTACGTCCAATACACCTCCTTTACATGGGGTTCAAACAAACAGCAGCTTCGGGCAAAAACCAATAAGCTGCCAGCTGAGGAGCAAATTAGAATACGCTGGGTGAACAGAATAAACTTTGTGGAAACCATCACAAGACAAGCCCCAGCTTGGAGTCCACTGGGTAAAAGAAGAGGTGAGCCGTAGAAAAGATAACGTCAGGAGTCGAGGACAGACACTAAGACAACGAATATCACTTGGCAACAACTGCAAAGGAGAGCCTAGGATGGAGTTGCTCAGAGATCTCTGTTTGGTAACTTATGCCCCAAGAGGGAGTGGCAGGCTCAATTAAGTTATCGTGAGAAATTAAGCCAATGTCCTTCCTGACCGAACAAAAGTCAAGTATCTAAACGGAATAAGCTAAAACAAATATTACGTATAAAAAAGCTAGGAAGTTTAATTTGCCAAACATGAAGATAACAAGTCAACTTAGGATAAAATCCATATTACTGAACAAATTCAAATCCAAATGATGCATATATTTAAATACAGAAATAATAAAAAAACACAAAAAGCAAACTATTCAACAGTATTAAATTCAACAACTGATTAAAACAAACGAAATCATATCAACTTTTAACAACATAAAACAAAAATAGAAAAAAAACAGCACTGGATCACAAATATAAATTGTGTTCCATACATTGGTAATAAGAATGTCCAAAATAAGTGAGAGGCGATTTTTCAATTGAACAAAAAAGAAAGAAATTAAACAAAATAAAAATTAGAACAGCAGTCGGTGGAACACAAAAAAAGATAATATTCCTATGTAGTAAACAAACTGTTGAAATAAAAAGGCGATAGAATAGCACCGATTATAAAGAATAGTACGAGTACAGGAAGAGAAGAGTTTTTTGATCACAGCACTTTTATAAGAGTTTTGATCTCAGGCATATTACATAATAATTTGTGGTTCAACAACTGATTGGGCAATGCTTTTGTGTGGTAGTACACGTGCACCATTTACAAATAATTCATCAGATACAATGACATCTTCACCTAAGACGGTGACATTTTCCATTCTCACCTACAAATAATAATAGATCAGAATACGGTGATGGTGAGAATATGAATTGATTTTAATAACGTTTTATGAACGCATTTATCTGATATAGATTCATGCACATAACTTGAAGCCACACTCTAGATGTAAGTGCTGGTAGTACTTGTGCGGTTACTCAGACTGAAGTATGTAAAAAGAGTTTTGAATCTACGATTTTGTAGCTGAAATTTGAACGCCTTAACTATTGATCAACTAATGCCTGTGATAAAAGAATGCAACAATTCTAGTCCTATATTAATTATAAACAGTATACTACATATGCTGAGTATTTTAAGGTGAATCTGATCCTGGAGAGTGGTGCTGAAAAAATCAAATTCCAAACTAGTTCCATTAATGATGAAACAAACACGTGGTTAACTGTTTCAGGTAGAAAGTTTGGCATTAAGTGCTAGTTACTAGCATGACAAAATCCTAATTATAAGATGCTTAATGAAGGCCAAAACCTGAATATGCTAATGGGTCTATTCCCACTCAATCAGTAGTAGCAGATGGATCTGGAAGACACTAGGTATTTCGCATGCAAACTCTATTGGATCTCCTGTATTTTTGTTATTTATTGCACTGTACATTGTTGTACAGATTGGCAGGAATATATTTTGTTTGCAAATCATCTTCGTTTTTATTTGTCTCGAGTCAAATGAAGCGTAATTGTCAGTCATCATTTATTTATTTAATTCACATGAAATTTGGCACAACTGGGAACCATGAATATAGTATACACCAAACGAAAATTTGTGATGCTGAATGGGAGCCCGAGTTGAAACACACATGTTCGACATACCTAAAGGTCAAATCCACAAACTAGTGAAGCAACTTCAAAAAGGTCCCTTTTCGTAGTAGCCGACTATTAAAAATAGGTTAACACGCTACTCATTCTCTTAGGATCCTGGAGCCCATACATATCGATGGTTTGGAATCAAGGTTTTTCAATTTTCCTAGGTGAAAACCTGTATATCTTCCAATCTGATTAAAGTGCTGAACGCCCGCCTTTTTTCTTACCATTTTTCTAAAACACAGACGTTGCGTGCAGAACATAGGATCACTTTGACAGAGGCTATAAATGCATAGCCGTATAAGGGCATTCCGAGAGAGCAGGCTTTCTCAACTATCAGCCGAACCTCGGTATTCAATGGAAAAGAGTACTACGACAAAAAAGGTCGTAATGTTAACAATTAAAAATGATTTTTTACAATGTTATGACAACGTAGTTTTAAACTTTCCTATAAACCTCAATTACAAATATCCAGTGGTCTCTGGTTAACAGATAAAGACGAAAAATGAAAAATAATATATTTCGAAGACTGAACAGCATTAAATAAGGACTCTAATTCGGTTTTATATAATGTGAAATCTATCAAAGATATACTCATAAACAATATATTACACTCAAATTCACTTAGTATTGTTTGTTTGAATCTTCCCATTGATGTTTAGGACTGAAATTGATCAGTCTCTTATTGGTATGGGTGCATATACTGGGCGTATTGCTTCGATATTGCCTTAATTCCCAAGCATTATAGGCAAAGATGGGTAGTGGCTAGCAGTGGAATACAGGACGTGCGTTTCGTCCTATTTGGGACTTGTCAGCTGGATGTACCTGTATCTCAGGGTTGATGTTCAATCTAGGGCTACAACCCAGTACCGTTCGCTTCAAACACCATCGCGTTATCCACTGGGAAGATTCAAACAAGCAATACTAAGTGAATTTAAACTTTACCCCATTGCACAAACAAGTGGCTATCAGGACTCAGTAGATAAGCGGATAACGCGATGGCGTTTGAAGCGAACGGTACTGGGTTGAAGCCCCAGAGTGAACATCAACCCTGAAATATAGGTACATCCAGCTGACGAGTCCCAAATAGGAAGAAACGCGCGTCCTGGATTCCACTGCTAACCACTATCCATCTCTGCTTATAATTTATTACACTTTTAAAATCATGCAATATTATTATAACTTCGCACAAATGTGTATACATACCATCAGTGAGGATATTCTTAAACGGATAAAAGGTATATCAACAGACTTACCCACTGCCCAACAGTACACCGCCAACCAATAATACAAGTTTCTAGCCAAGAATGCGAACGAATAATACTTCCTTGAAGCAAGGTTGAATTACGAATTCTTACTCCATCTTCAACTATACACTCTGGTCCAATAACAACACTCGGTCCAAGAACACAAGTAGGTGAAACTGAAGCAGTTGGATGCTAGAAAAATAATGAACGTGAAAGAATTAGGGCTGTAGGAAAAGCCAAAAAATATTATCAACAACGTAATATCTAGTACAAATATGTATCATTTCAATTTGCTACACTTTACACTATAAAGAAGTGAGAGAAGAAACACAAATTTTGTTCTCGATTCGTTTTTAAAAACCCTGAGATTAATTTTTGAATGTTATTTAAAGAAATGATTAAACAATTGACCTAATATAAAATAGATAGAATATAACTAGCAGTAGAATTCAGGATCTGTGTTTCATCCTATTTGGAACTTGTCAACTAAATATGCCTTCATCCCAGAGTTATTGTTCATTCCAAGATTCAAATCTAGTTACCTTCGCTTCAAACACCAACACGTTATCCACTTTCAGCTACTCAGTCCAAAATAGCCACTCACTTGTGAAACCGGCATCGGTTTTGACTTAACTAAGGCTGATTAAAGTTTGATCAGGACATCAACAACGGGATAAGCCGAATCATTACAAATTAAATTAAAATTCAAACCCATATCACAAGTGAATGGCTACTTGAACCCAGTAGCTAAGTGAATAACGCATCGGCACTTGAAGTGAAAGGAATTGGATTTGAATTCTGGAGTTATTTAGAGATTCGAAATGGTAGCTATTCGAAAATATTTTTGAGTGATTCCGGTTGAACCACTAGACTGCCACTATAAAGGTAAAGAAATAGGAAGTCAGAAACGTGGACTGTTAGAAGCCGGGAGGTCGACGGTTAAGTCTATAGGAAGGTCATGGTTGCACACTAATGAGTTCTATACTAAATGCAAAACACATGTCTAGTGCTCTATAATTTTCGATGATTTTCTAGTTGAAGTTAGTTCATCATGTAAACTAAATTTGGCTAGAAAGACCGCACAAACCTCTTGCTACAGTAAAGATTTCATCCTAGGAACATAATAATAAAGCATATAACTTACTATTAAAACATTCCCATGAATATTAGATCCAGTTGCTAGTTCCTTCGAATGATCTGATTGTTTTAAGTAATTTAGATACAAATTTGTACCTTTGAGAAAATCATGAGGTTGTCCAACATCCATCCAGAACCCTATAAATAAGTAATAAGTCATAAACGGAAAATATTTTGACATATTCTTGGTTAAAATAAACAATAGTTATAGTATAATACAATCAGATGGTTTACCGAAAATTCATAAACCAGATATCCCTCTAAGACCGATAGTAGACTTTACCAACACACTGACATATGCTTTATCTAAATATCTAAGCAGCACATTAAAGCTACTACAGCTTAACTTACACAATATGATTAAAGATACATATGACTTTAAATCAAAATTATCGGAATTAATCATCGAGAACAATGAAGTCATGGTAAGCTTTGATGTCGTCTCTTTATACACTAGTATTCCTATTGATAAATGCTTAGAATTCATTAGTGGTTTACTAGAGAATGACAATACTTTTTCTGACAGATGTCCTTTAAGCATCAGTTTAATCACGAGACCCTTAAAACTCTGCTTAAATTCGACTCTATTCACCTTCAACGGAATGTTATACAAACAAGCAAATGGTGTAGCAATTGGTTCCCAAGTGTCCCCGATTGTGGCCAACCTTTTTATGACACACACAGAATCAAATATTTTCACCAACGATATTAAACCACGAATGTGGTTTAGATATGTAGATGATACATTTGTTGTGGTAAAAAAGACTCATCTACGATGTTTTTCGAAACACATCAGTACACTGTCATCACATGTCAAATTCACGAACGAGAATGAAAATGAACATGGAGAGCTACCTTTCTTAGATTGCTTAGTGAAAAGAAATGTAAATGGAGATCTAAATCTATCCATCTACCGAAAGCCCACACACTCTAATCGTTATATTGACTTCCATTCAGCACATCCTTTCAGTGCTAAAATCTCGTTAGCCTTAAATCCTTTTAGAAGAGTCAACAAGATCATCACTTCAGAAGAGGACAAACTAAAAGAACAAAAGAATGTAATTAGCATCTTACAATTTACTAATTTTCCTATTAAGATTATTAGAAGTCTATTAAAAGAAAACAGTTCAGTACGTAATAATAATAATTCGAATGAAATGTGATGGATTGGTACTGCAGTTTTACCATACCGTCATGACTTACACTGAGTCACGAAACATCAGAAAATCTAATTTTTCTACTCAGTGGGATATTACAAATATATTAATTTATTTATATTAATCTAAATGTAACACTGATTGGTTAATTGAATAAAGTGATTGATAGGCGATTGATAGCCAGTGACCATGTTTATCTGGTCCTTAGTACTGATCAAGTTCTATCGAGTAAGATGAAATGTAGCCACGTTGGTCACTACTCTATGATCCATTACCTTTAAACATGTTAGTCTTACAGGAAATCAGTCACTGTCCGATTGCTTCTGCGGTAACATCCCAGTCTGTGAAGCTAGATGATGTGGTCTCGATATCCACAAGTTTCCGTTGCCTAAAGATTGAAGGTAAGGATTGCTGACAGATGCTAGCTAGCACGAAATCTAGGAACGCTAATTTTAGTTAATAGGTTATTATAAACCAAAAGATGAATAGAAAACAGTACAAAGGAACAACATCAACTTTATGAAATAGATCAAATTACTCTTGACAAATATGTACTCGATCCATCTTCGATCTATTTACTGATACAAACCTATCTTGTCGTGAACAGATAATTTCAAAATTAAGTATTTTGTCGAAAAACACAGCTCATAAATGACTTGAAACGAGAAAAATATAGATTTTTTTCATGAGAAGCTATAGTAATACTGTGACCTAAGGAAAGAATTAGTACACCGAAATACAACTGAACAATATTTTCCAACATAAACACAAAAGTGATTGTCTTAACTATCAGACAAGTGAGCATAGAACGAACTACATATTCCATTTTGCTGGTGATGAACATAGCGGAGCTGTTGCACTATTTATATGATTATATGAGTCACAATGAATTTTTGATTCGAACAAATGAAATGGCGCTGAATAAACTAGGCTTTTGGACAAGTTGTATTCTAATGTCCGCATAATAAAGTCGTGTTTTCAAACTATCTGTAAACTGTGGTGTCATTATTTAAGTCAAAAGCAAGGCAGATATTCAACTATAAGGTTGAATGATCGTTGTATTGTACCATGAACTAACATGGTTTAAAATTGATATAAAAGCAACGTGTTTAACGCAAAATCTGAGAGTTCCAGCATTCCACTCGTGTATGGGCGAACGACTCCCCTAAGATAACACGAAACATATTACAGCTCCATTAACTAAAGTCAGCTCGTAGTGGAAACTATTTTTAAGCCAATCAAGTTTCTAAAGAAATATTTACTTGAATAATAATTATCCTTACTTAATAGCAAACGTACGGTGATATTATCCGTAAAATATAAAAAAACTATCCTAAGATCATAGGGATTTACGGTTGATGACACAGGATGCGATCAGTACTAAAGGACTAGACAAACACTACATTGGTTACGACTCAGTGGTCAATTAACTGTAAACGTCTTAATCTTATAGAAGGCCAGTCTGCATCTGAATAACTCAGTAGTAACGTCTCAGACTGCGAAACCGGGTGAGGTGAGTCCGAATACTACAAGTAGCATCAGTTTCCTGTTTTAAGATTCCAGGTGCGTCTTGCTGATAAAAACCGACTAGTAAGAAACATAAATAAAGCACGGTTCCTCGTCAATCAGTCCCGATCACCTAAAATTTCAAAACACTACACGAAACATTAAGTCACCTAGACTAATAGCCACACCTGGTCGATAGAATTATATTAGCGCTAAAGAATTGGACAGACATTTTACTGATGGTTACTCAATTATCAATTTACAGTCTAAGCTTATTATCTCTAGCTATGATTTTTCTGACAAAGAATAACTATGGTATGATATAAGGATGTTAACTTATAGAACAACTATTGTAGGACATTGAGAATAATTATCAATATGACTGGCTGATCTTTTGAACTGGATTACTTCCACTGATTGGAACAATTTGCATAAACTAAGCTTCTGTAAAAAAAAATGTGGTACCAGTGTAGTAAACGAGAATACAAGCGAGGACAGTCGAATGTAATTAAATACCACAATCGCAGAACATTTTATTAAAATCTGAGAACCATGCAGTGAATAGATAATTTGCAAAATGTCAATCAATTGTCTCAAACTTGATTGTTCCTTTTGCAAATATCAGTTAGTCGTCTCACACTCGATTGTTCCTGCATTTCTATACAGATTGCTTTCTGTTCCCGTTCTTTCCTTCTCGTTCCGTTTGACATTCTCCTGCCAGACATTTTATTCCTGACTACCGTTATATTCTACTTATGTCAATAAAAGTAGCACACTAGTGAGATTCAATATGCATGAAGAATTTTGAAAATCAGTCAGTCAATCATCTACAACGTTGGACCAGGCACATATATGCATCAGTCCAAATTGGTACACCTCATTAACACAACAAGATGAACACCGAATTCGTGAATCAGTTACTTCAATGGTAGTAATATATATAAATAAAGATTGAATGTAAGGACATGATAGAGGAAGAAAGAACTAGTTCGTAGAAAGAAAGGTATGAAGCAATTTTAATATCACGGTTTGAGGGAAGACAAAGTGTGTATACACCTACGTCATTGTGATCGATTCTGAGCCATGTCACCCAAAGTCTCTAATTATTGGTTACGATAGTCGCACGGACCCCAACCAAGTAGTCTGCATCTACTAACATGGCTCAGACCACAAGTTAGTGACTTCAAGGACTGATGCCATGTTTTGGTTTGGCCGTCCCTAATTATCTTCCACCCGTCTCCAACACTAGTTAGCATAGTCTGTGGTTGGGCATGCGTAATATCTGACCTAACCATCTCGATAGATGAAGATTCATCACCTCATCAACTGACTTACCATCATTCCCTAATACCCTGTGTCTAACCTCACTATTACTTACTCGGTGATCCCAGTAGAAGCGAACAATATTTCTAAGACATCTTTGACTGAATACTAGTAACTTACGAGTATTATCTACCCTTACTGGCCACATTTCGCAGCCGTAAAGCAGAACAGAACGAACCACCGCGAAGTATATTCGTCGCTTAATTGATGGATGAATATCTCGCCTTCACCATGGGTGACGTAAGTTGGCAAAAGCCAAACGAGCTTTTTGAATCCGTGCTGAAATTTCGTCAGACACCAACCCATTAGGGCTCATCAGACTTCCAAATTAGGTGAAGTCGTCTAAGCGTTCGACTACTTCACTCCCTATCCTCAGTCCAGGTGTTGACGCAGGCCAATCCTGAAGCAAAAATTTGTATTTGGAGGGGAAGAAGCTGTAAGTTACAGTTATTTTAAATGAGAATCAGAAATACAACACTGATGCTCAAACTAAGTCAATCAGTGAGACGAGTATTTACACTGATGATTTTGTGAAATAAGGATTACAAACTTAAATTAATATTAATTATCAGAAGAGGTTTTGCGGAGATTTAGTATTTATCATAGTTGAAAGCGTGAGTCAATTGAAGCTAGACCACCAAGGAAAACCTGGAAACACTGGACGGCCGTTTCGTCGGTTAAGGGCTTCGGCTCGAGACTGGTAGGTCCTGAGTTCGAATCTCGCGAGAGCGGGTTCGTGGATGCGCACAGCTGAGGAGTCCCATAATAGGACGAAACGGCCGTCCAGTGTTTCCAGGTTTTCCTTGGTGGTCTAGCCTCAATTGACTCACGCTTTCAACTATGTTAAATTAATATATCACAGGTTATCAAGAATAACAAAAATTCACACTCGAATACGAATTGTATCAAGTAAATATTAATTCTAGACAGAAATTCACCTGATAATGTCATGCAATAGAGTTGTTTCTCGTTCGCCATTTCTGGGAATATCTCTTTCTCAATGGAAGTTGGACGTAACTAAACAAATATGAGCGAAAATAGATAATCTGTATTCGAGCTAAATTACACCATAAAAACAAGGTGTTTACACTTTGCACTGAACAACAAGTAACTAGTACAGTTAGGTAAGTATAGTTCGATATAAAACCAGTGTTTGAGTGCTTATGTACTGCACAACAGATGTTCACTGTTGTCAACCAGTAGAGACTAGCACAAATGTATATCGACCCAAGTTGCAATAGCATGAGAAAATCAGTAAGACAAAGAGAGAAGGGGGAAATATCAACTGTACTGAAGATTTAAGCAGGAGGACTACAATTATTCAATATCTTCAACAATTGACTACAGCTATTGCATGGGCTCCAATCAAGAGGTTTACTTTTAAAGACATTGAACAGCCTAATAATCAGTTACTTTGTAGATTGACAGTCATTTCCTGACATTTTCACTCCTAGCTTTTAATCAACTTACACTCACTCCGCGAGAACATAACGCATCAAGATACGTGGTAACTAGACATATGTCCCAACCACTTCAGTCTATGAAGGTTTATCACCATCGTCAACCAGAAAGTTATTTTCCCTTGAAACTGTGATCATCATCTCAGTATTACTAACCTGCACGTTCCAAAATTTTTGAGTAATCCTGTTTATTATTTAAATATAGAGTACATCAACGAAGGCATTTACTGAATAACTTGGAGTTGATTCCTTTTTACCGAAGTTTATTTTTGTCCGAGTGGGATAAAGCAATTTCATTTGGTATTTTATGTCATAAAGGCAAACAGTTGCAGGTATTTCAGTTATATGAAAGCAGATATAAATAACTGTCGATTAGCAATTCTATGTTAGTCTACTGAACCCTAAGTCAATAAACTGATATGTTTTTGTTAATATTAACCCAATACCCGGTACATATTTGTTTTATTGGTTTCAGGTCACATTCCAAGTGTGGAGACTAGTAATACTACGCAGTTGTCCGAACTTAAGTTGCCGGAGGGGAGTTCAAACCCAAATTAGTGACTTGAAGTTGAAAAACTTAACCACTGGGTTATCCCACTGAAGTACGGGTTTAAATATCTCAGTGATAATAACAATGACTATGAAAATGATTGAAACTAGACTAGATCGATAAACTAAAAATTTTTATTACAAGTGAATGATGCATCTATGACAAAAAAAATGAAATCGAAGGCAATAGTGAGTATTAATTATACAGCAAAATTACTTACAGGGATCCTATCAATAACACTAGGATTAAGTAAGTATATACCGGCATTTATCTTATTACCAACAAATTCAATTGGTTTTTCAACAAAACGATCCACACGTCCAGTTGTTTGATCGTAAACAACAACACCATATTTTGAAGGTTCTTCAACTTGTGTCACCTAGTTGAAATTATAAAAAAAACTGTAAATCGTTGGATAAATCACAGAAGCTTTACAGTACGTATATGTTCAACATATATATACCATTTTTCCAGGAATCAATGCGTGAGAGAAAACTATATAAAGCATCATTAATGGGATCAACAATAACAATAATGATAATAAATCGTTATCTAATCCGTCAATGAAATATATATCAACGAAATACATGGTTATATGCTCGGCTTTGAACCGCATTTTATGAGTGAGGAATTTAAATAAGAACGACCTAGTAATCCACTAAATCAAAAGCCTATTGATTCACAAACTAAGTCACCGCTATACATTGTACACCAATGTAACTGCAAGGATCGAGTAAATAAACCTGTATTTTACAAGTGAGTTACCTTAACTGCCCTATACTTCAAATTGAATTATGCCTGGATCGAATGAAATATTCTATGACATGTACATAATTCTCACTTAGTTACAATGCAACCGAAACAACGTATTATATCCATGTGAACAGCTAACTTATGCAGAGTTAATCCTTAAAACAATAAGTCACATAAATTGGAATAAACTGATTGTGTAAGTATAAATAAAAATTTATCATACTAGTGAGACATACTCACTTTAATAGTAGAACCATATGATTCTTTGTAACTACTACTGTTTGCTATTTATCTATTTTCAGATCAATAATAAAATTGAGGTATATTTTGTTTGTGATTGCGTCATATACAAATCGTCCGGTCATAAACAATGTGAAGTATGAGACAAACATGTTTTGGTCTAAAATACCATAATACATTAGCTCAACAAGATGAAATTAACACGATGAATAGCAAAGAAATAGAAATAATCTAGTGACAGTGATGACGACAAAGACAGAACACTGAAGAAGATTAATGATAAACATATTTTTGTTATATCCCAATGAGTAGAAAAATGGTATTTCTGATGTTTCGTGACTTAATGTAGACCACTTTTTCGGAGTAAACAAACAGTCGACTTAGATCAACATATGCTTTTTGAATGATGGTTCCTAAATGCCTTGCTGCGGCCGTGGGCAGGTAGAGTTCACTCTCCCTCTCGAAATGTTCTCACATAGCCACGAGTATACAGCCACTGTCATGGAAGTCCTACTCACTGCCTTTTCGCACCATGGGTGTTGCTTACGAAATTGAGAGCACAAAAAGTGAATGTCCGGCACTTTAACCGGGTCGGTGTATATGGAGAATCCACCTAGGGGAGTTGGAAAACCCTAATTTTGAACCAGTAGTGTACATAGGCTCTAGGATCCTAAAAGAACAAATGGTGTATGAACCTTTTGTTGGTCACCGGCTTTCACGGGACTGCAACTCCTAACGTTGCTTCACTGACTTCTAGACTAGGCCTCTAGGTCAAAGACTCGGATAGTGGCCCCCTGAAAAAACCACCTGCTTCGGTTTGGGCACTCGGGCAGTATTCCAGCCCTCACAAGAATCGCATGATGAAGCGTGGCGCATATACATTTGGTACCCCCTTGTTGTAATATGTATGTGTTTACATAAATAAAAAGTTCGAATGACCATTTTTATGTATAACCGTAGAATGTGACGAGAAATTTGTTGGAAAAAAAAGAAAATTCTTCATTAGTTTACATTATTACTGAAAACCAACAGTACCCTATATTGTTAGAAATGTCATATCCTATTATAATAAAGTATCCATAAGCTATTTACTAATTTTAACGAATAAGTTCATTTTACTTTCGGTTTAATTTAAATAAATGATCAAAAAAGATCTACAGAAACAATACTGTGAGCAGATTTTTAGCAACATTTACAAAATTTTTGATTGTCTACATTTTTATAGATTGCAAACATTGTTACTGAATTATGAAACCATCATTTGTACATAAATTAAGTAAACGACTTATAAGATGAAAAAATATATACACGTATTTTCTGATGGAAATTATAGCGCAAAATATAGTAAACAATAGATACTTGAAAGCTGAAATCCCAAGTATTCTACAGCGTACACGCCAGGACACACACAGTAGTATTATTCAGTTGTTTTTGTTCACAATTAACTACTTGATTCCTGTGATATGACAGGAGAACTAATTCTGGTCGAAGAGTAAATGACTAATGGTTGCCATATTTGTCGACCATTTATTTGTTAAATAACTCCTAATCATGTTTATTCTTGTGTTCAGTATTTTATAATGTGACGAAGTTATTTTGTTGAAAGAAAACTCTATTCTACTAGGAAGCTCTCTTGCCTTTTGATATCGACTCCACTAAGGGCTTACATCAATAATTAGATTTCGCGAGCGCCAATCACTTGGCCACATCATGTTATTACATTTTGTCTATCGACCACTTTTTATTTTAACAATCGAGAATTTGCTTGTCAAATTATATAGTTCTACCCAATAACAGACTGTCGAATTGAGTTTCGGTACTGCGCTCTTGATTTTAAACTAAAAATATGTTACAAAATCTAAGCAACTATTTGAAAAACTCAACACAGAGAAGTGTTCATTTGGTTAGAAGATAAAGTAGCGAAGGTATTTACATGAGGGAGAATTTATGCAGTAAACTAACCAAAATAGTTCCTGACTTCCCATGATTTTTATGAAATGCCATGATTGCCTTGAACGGGAAATCACACATGATATCACTATTGAGCACAAAAAATGGACTATCGTCCACGAGGAGCATATCTTTAGCTAAGGCGATTGGACCGGCTGAAAAGCAATAAACATATTATAAATACGTTAATGAATTTTGAATGTGGATAACAATGGGATCCATAGCACATAAGTTTCAGTTTATTAGCGACTCATTTGATATCTGTATCCCACTGTCGGATTTTGTACTTAGATTGGACAACAAACAACAAAAACTGAACAAAATTCAATCCTATATAGCGACAATGTGATAATACAAACCCATACAAATCGATATTAGGTATGTAAATAAGAAGAATCTATTCGCTTATTAATAGAAAAATAAATATGGGTATGGTTTACTGAAACTATACTAACAGCAGCCTAACCTTTTAAATCCCATATCTTATTGAACAACAGACATTATTAATTATGCCTCTGATTTAATTCTGATTCATTGATGTATACTGTATTCCAAAAACCTGTATAGACGACTAACGCGTAGCTATTCGGTCATTTTACCGTCTATAATATTCTTTTACATCTTGTCTATAAACTTCGCGCATGTAGTTACTATGCTCTCTCAAAGAAGAAATTCTATTATTTAACCGCGTTTCAGTTTACTATGGTGCCACATTTTAGAGAAAAATATCAAAAAAATTATCTATCGATAACTGAAGCCATTATTCAACCACATACTGATTCAGGGTCTAAGAACACAAAGCATAAGCTTGACTTTGGGTCTTCCCTAAAAAGTCAAACAAGCATATGCATCCTTTGTACATCATATGCGTTCAGTGGCTGGTATGGAGAAACTGGAGAAAATGGCAGAGACCTTGAAATATTTAGCAGAATTTCTGCACATTAAATAACCATTGGTGACTGTCTTTAAAACGTCTGCCTATGTAATGATTTAAGCTTACCAATGCCAAAGGAAAACAAATGGTCAGGAATTACCTGGTTTGATTTCTCATAACATTAGCAAAATAAAAAGTAAATAGTTGCCTATGCCATCAGCTAATGTTAGAAGAAATCGATGAAGATGAAAATTTTTGGCACTTATCTCCGAATTCTAATCAGGTCATCAAACTAAGTGATTCAAGTTCCTAGTTAAATTACTTAAGGTATTTAGATCGGCGCGAAAAATTAACATTAACAACGTCTAATGTTAAGATTAGATGTGTAAAGGAACTATGAAAACGCGTAAATATTTATAAAAGGTATTCAATTTATCAAGTAACAAATGATGCTCTTTTATTAAGGTTGAGGAATTTAAAGTTAATAAAACAAGACTTACCAGTTCCCATTGCTTCAGTTTCATAAGAGAATGTAATTTTAGTTCCAATCTAGAGTCATGGGACAAACAAATACATTAATAATAATAATAATAATATCTGTATTGATTTGGGACTGAAAATTGAAACCAACTGTACACTTTGTAACAAACTTATTCGTAAAAAAACTCAAAATAGATCTGTGACATTTTAGGTATACATAAGTTGAAGATGTTTTATATCATAAACAGATTTGAGTTACTTCATGTCCGTAAGAATGAGGGAGTACTAAACAGCTGTTCTGTCGTAGTTTTATATACTAACAGAGTGGTGTGGTCTAGCAGTTAAGGGGCTCTACTTCCAATTACTAGGTTTGTATATCTAACCTCGACTTACTAC